AAAATTATGGTGTTGTCACGGGCAACTTACCTCGTTTCCGTTGGTAACAATATCAACAGCCGTTGGTCGCCTGTCGCGTCGCCTACAATTTCGCGCGCATTGCTGCCAATGACGTCAAAGGTCGACAAGTTGCCGGAGCCAGTTGCTCGTGACAACAACACGATTTTTACGTTAAAACTTGGTGACCAAACTGTCGTCCCGCCTTACTCGACTGATAATCATAGTAACAATGACATTCACATTTACCAGTTTACCTATGAACTTGATTTGCATACCCCTATTCACCCCCCACTTAATGGCATTTAAAAGCCTTGCAGACATGCCATCACAAAATGTGTACGACTTTTCGTACGAACAGAAAGCTGTAGTTTGGCTGGGTGTCGTGTACCCTCTTCTCTTCGACCGAAACCAATGCTGCTTCCTACTGAATAAATCAAAGGAGGAAATGAGTTTCACTTCGCTGGCCTAAATTTCTGTGCTGTGCACAAACTATGTAGCGTAAACCCAACGAAAGTGTTTACATAGGAAATGAGTTCAACTCCCACAGGGTTGCTTTGGTACACCAACATGTCTTCCGTTTCATTGTTTCGGAAGTGAAAATGCCCTGTAGCTGTTACCCCAAAGCCAAGGAGATTCAAAGTCGTGTTCGTAAACAAAATAATTGTCCTAGTTTTGGTACTAAAAGCACGTCGTCTCGCATACCGACGGAACAAACATGGTTGGTGTCGATTTACATGATCAGCATAAAGGACGCACTGTAGATTGTGAACTGTGGACTGCCGACTGCCGACTGCCGACTGCCGACTGCCGACTGCCGACTGCCGACTGCCGACTGCCGACTGCCGACTGCCGACTGCCGACTGCCGACTGCCGACTGCCGACTGCCGACTGCGGACTGCGGACTGCAGACTACGGACTACGAACTGGGTATAAAACACAGACTTATGTATAATATTACACAATACATGTATAAACGAGAACAAATCCTCTCGTATGCACGTGCTTTGCGATCAATTCATTTGTTTTTGCCCCTGTTGAAGGGAGACCAATTTCACGCCTACCTAACAGCTCAGGAACAAAATGCTGTTTTTTAACATACTAAGCCTACCAAAACTCGAACGCACTCTTTAATCTACGATTACTACTAGTTCATAAAATATTGTTTTGCCACTTAGAAACAAAATTCATACCTTATTTCCTATCTCCTTGTGATAATTCCTCTATTTATCAGTGGCAAGTGGATAATTTATCAAAATATGATATGCAGTTGAAGCTGAATCCTGGGACAAATAATTCATTGCCAAGACTCTAAAAAAATGGGATCATGTATCTTATGGGGAGTATTGAATGACACATTGACCGATGTATCGGTCAATATGCCGGTCATTACTTGAGTTAACACTTGACCGAACATCAGTTGGCCATCGACCGAGAGTCAATCAACAGCCCGCCAATACACCAGCACTAGTCGAATTCTGCATACAGCTTATCAGTCAACTAGCAGTCAACCATCGGTCAACTATCGGTGGTATATAATTATCAGTCAACTGCTGGTCCTGTATCAGTCGATAGTGGAGTGAGAGTCGACTGCTAGCCCGCTGATATAGACTTTAATAATCAACCATCAGTCAGTGAACATCCACCGATACATCCGTCAATATGTCGGTCAAGGCTCCCTATATATAGATACATGATCCTATATAATTTTTGATACTTTTTGTCGACTGACTTTGTAGTCCACGGCTCTTCTGGTATAATGTAGCATTGAAAAAACAATGACAAAGCGGCAGAGTTAAATTTTTTGCAGAATGCCGAGCAGGGGAATCAGAATGCAATTCACTGTTTAACTTGCAGATAGTTTCACTCACGTTTGCTTTTGGTTAGCTTTTATTTGTTTGAAAGATCCAAATACAATATAATGTAATGAATCCAACAAATAAAAGCTATATATTACCAGTAACAAACAAGCAAGCATTGCCTTCGCATTCTCAGTTCTGTATTCGCATTTGGCATTGTGCAAAATAGGCCTGCCCGAGACAACTTGGCCAAGGTAGTGGAATGTACTGTGAACAACACGTGAATTTAGCATTAACATAAGCCAAGGAGAAACTATTTATAAAAATATTCTTTCAAATATAAAATTAACCTCTTGCATTTTTCATAACCTTAGATGAGGGACATTGTGGAGTTAACTGTTGTGTTGACATACATGAAAATCTCAAATTAGCAATGTAATTTAAACAAAATACAATTATTCATTAAATTATGCATTTGCTCTTATCTTACAGGTCTGATATTGGTTGTTTTATCAGGGCAAATAACTTTTGCTCAGAGTAAGCGACTTATTATTTTTGTTAGATCACTGTTTGTTTGTCTGTTTGTTTGTTTGTTTTTATGATCAATTGGCCACCCTCCCTGATGTAGCTGGTCAATTTTTCTTGTGCTGTAAAGGTTGACAAGTTAAATGTAAAATCTAAGTATACTGGAACTATAATAATTGTAAGTTATAATATGCTAATTGATTGCATAATTACTAGATTTTGCTGTTACACAGCAATCAGATTGGCTCAGCTAATATTTGTACACTAGGTATAGGTAAAGTCTGTGTACAAGCTGTTAGAGGTCCAAATCAGGCTAAAGCTTATCCCGGTTTCTGTAACATGAAGTGACTGGGAGTATTTTTAATCCCCCCTGCAGAATGTCAAGCTCGTTCATTGCAGGGTTACCCCTAGGATTAACTTCACTGGTACCCATTTATAAATACACCTTGGTGGAGAGAGGCACTGTGAGAGTTAAGTGTCTTGCCCAAGAACACAACACAATGTCCCCTATCAGGGCTCGAACCTGAACTGCTCAACCCGGAAACAAGTGCATGGAGACGAGTGCAACATGAGGCCACCACGCCTCCACTATTTCTACACTATCAACCATTGAATCAATATACTTTTTTCTTAATAGATTGTTTCACTGGGGATGATCCTATGCAGGTCACTGCATCAGCATCTCACAACAGAACCATTGAAAGCCTTTACTATCCCTCGGATTACCAAAACAACACGGAATGCAAATGGAGGGTTGAAATTGAAGACAAATTCAACCTTCCCTTTGGAGGTTATGTAATTAAGGCTATATTCAATGACTTTGAGTTGCAAGCTGGTCAAGACTCTTCAGTTCCTAGTTGTCCATACGGTAACCTTACGTTTTATGATGGATATTCGGAATCATCTCCCCTTCTTGGATCATACTGCGGTACAGTCCATCCTGAAGTTATTTATTCCACTGGAAATAACCTGTATATCAAGCTCCAGACAGACAGTACAAACTCTTCGCGACGATTCCGCATAAGTGTTTCGGTGGTTGGAGCAGGTATTAACAGTACAGTATGTAAACAAATTAGGTAAAGTCTGCATACGAGCCAAGAGGCCCATCAGGCCGGTGCTCATCTCTGGTTTTTGTCTCCAGCAAGGGCTTGAACCTACTCGATCCGGAGGCGAGCGCACTAACCTTGAGGCCATCGTACCTCCACACTAACAGTACTGACATATGTATCATTTTCAAGGTCATTTTCGAGCCTATACATTTACACAAGTCTGGTGCTTAACCCCTAATTTACAACTGTAATTATTAATATTTTTCTCTTGTCTTCTCTTTGTCAGTTGCAAAAGAAATGGACTTGAGGAGGATTCGAACTCATGACCCCCGCGGTCTCAGAAAGTAATTTAAAAAATTCTTTTAAACTTATTTGCAGAGAAGGCGTCTGGAATATGCCGTCCATCACGGACAGAAGGCAATGCCATTATTGTCCAAGGTCATTATGGTACAATATTCAGCCCTGATTATCCTGTCCCATACCAGGATGATACAACCTGTGTATGGACGCTCTACGCTGCAGATGGCGATAGAGTGAAGTTAAGTTTTGTAGATTTTGAACTTGGCCAAAGCGTTATCGATACTACATACTACAGTTTCTGTGATGTTAAATCCGTCATGGACTATGTTGAAATTCACGATGGCCCGTCGTCTACGTATAAACGTCTTGGTAGTTACTGTGGAAAAAAGACGCCCTTCGATGTTTATTCCTCTGGACGTCGCATGTTGATAAAGTTTCGTGCCAACCGTGATGGTGTCCAAGCAAACAGAGGTTTCAAAGCACATTTTGAGTCTGTAAAACCACGTAAGTTAACAGCTGTTTCACTTTAATTATATACAGTCGAACCTCCATAAGCGGCCACCCAAAATGCCAAGCCTAGGTGATCGCTTTCGAGAGCTTAGATCATGTTGGGTCACAGCATTTTTGCCTCATGAGCGTATGGCGACTGCAATGACTTGTTTTAAATCTATTATTTATGTAAAAAGTCGATTTCGAGAAAACATCCGATACTTCCCATTGCGAATTTTCCGTCTCTTTTACTACCCAGAGATGCCGGCGATAATGTTACAACAACTTATTCTCCCGAATTTCCACCCTATTATCTCGGTTATTTGGTCGTTCACGGGAGGTTAAAAGCAAAAGAAAATTTCAAATTTTAAGCTTTAAAAATTGGTCGCGGTCGTTTACAAGAGGTGGTCGCTTACAAGAGGTTCCGAATAATATAGTGATATGACTTGAAAACTTTTGGTATTTTGGAAAACTGGTCGCCGAGGAGATGTTGTCGCTAACGAGAGGTGGTCGCAGTCGGAGTTTCGACTGTAGTTTTTTAGGCTAGTTTATTATGGCCCTAGCTCTCAGGAGTCTCCACGCTTTCTGTGGCTCACTGGCAGAGCGTCTGGTCTAGTACTCGGATTCCTTTTTCCAAGTATGCCTGACAATGTCACTAACAGTAAAATCATTTTCTCGAAACTAAAGTTGGCAATTGATTGTCAATTCGTGTTGCTATTACACTGAAACCCCGGATCACCAACGGGCATGAAAATTTGGCCCTATTACGCTCTTTTTCTCATAAGAATATTGTTTTTTTTCCGGTTGAGGCTGCATATTCTTCTTTTACTGCCGATTTTAGCCTGAAAATATTCTTGTGAATATCAGTTAGATTATAGCGTGTGACATTTCTGTTTTCGAATGTATTTCGTGTCTGGATGGTGTTAAAGTTATTTTGGAGCCAGCTTGCAGGCAATGAAGCTTGATGTCAGCACATAACTTCTTGCAAACTGAACATTTACGCATCGAATATAAGAGTCTCTACGCTTTCTGTGACTCAATGGCAGAGCATTTGCTCTACTACTCGGATTCCCTTTTCCAAGTATGCCTGACAATGTCACTGACAGTAAAATCATCTTCTCGAAACTAAAGTTGACAATTTTCAGTGGGCTCCATTTCAGTTAGTCTCACAGTTGTTGTCAGATTGTAAATTCGTGTTGCTATTACAGTGAAACCCCGTTAACACGGTCACCAACGGGCCATGAAAATTTGGCCGTATAACGCTCTTCTTTTCATAAGAATATTGTTTTTCCGGCTGAGGCTGAATATTCTTCTTTTTCTGCCGATTTTAGGCTAGAACATTCTTGTGAATATCAGTGAGATTACAGCGTATGACTTTTCTGTTTTCGAATGTATGTGGTGTCTGAATGGTGTAATTAAAGTAATTTTGGAGCCAGCTGGCAGGCAATGAAGCCTGATATCACTGAGCACATAACGTCTTGTAGAACAGCGTTTTAGCATCGAGTATAGACCTATTGCTGTTTTTGTTGCTTTTTGGCTAGGTTTGCCGTTTAGAGAAAAAAAAGAATTTTTATACAAAGCTATATTCTTTTCAAAATCTCAGCCTCGGGTTTATTCTTAAAATATTCTTAAAATTTCGCAAATTTCAGTCTGGATATTTTTATAAAATATGTTCTTAAAAAAAAGAGTGTAACGGGGTGGCCGTAATTTCATTACTGGTCTAAACTGATTGACGTCGCAACAGATATATCACAATTGCACTTCTATTGTTCTTAGTTTACGATGCGGAGCATTGTCTACCAGGAAACACCAACAATCTGAATCTGAAATTAACTGGTTCGTATGGAACTCTACAAAGCCCCGAGTACTACCCCCCGGAATTGGTGTGTGATTGGCTCATCACTGTCCCGGAAGGGAGGAAAGTAGAGCTCAGCTTTGAAAGACTTGACTTGGATTTTGAAACCGCCGAGCATGGATGCGAGGATTACGTGCAGATTCGTGATGGAGATTCAAAGCAGAGTGATACGATAGAGTATTTCTGTGGTAATGTAATTCCAAAGCCCTTGAAGTCCAGCGGTCGGTATATGTACATTCGTTTCTGTGCTGACAGTGTGTATGACACACCACGCCGGGGATTCAAGGCCACATTCAAAGCCGTCAAGGAATTCCGTAAGTTGGTAATTTTAAAACTTAGGTAATATAACACCCTAGAATGACTTCACATTCTCACAACAAGTAAACTATCATAAAAGTATAACGTTCCTATTAGGCTTTCAGATGGTTGACCGTTTGAAACGAATTCTGGTTTCGAAAGACTCTTCTGCCAATTTTTTTTCCAGTTAAAGTGCCACTAACCCCCCAAATTTTTTCCGCTAATATAAATCTCCCTCTTTTCCTGATCACCACTGCGAAAAAGTTATCCTTGTAGCTATTTTCGTTAATTTTCTATGAATTTTCAAAGTTCACAAAATTGGCCTTTTACATATTCACAACCGAGGAATAGCGGAGAATGGGACGAATTGGCAGCTTCTGACGTCATTTCGGGAATAACAATGTTTTGCTTCTGAGAAGAATATATGCGAAGATGCATGCGATAGTGTGTGTCAAAATCATTGCAGAGTGCAAGAAAGAAGTGTTGTTGGAGTCTGTAGCAATACCGGAAGCTGAGGATAGAGTATTCCTCTTCATTCATTACGTCTATATCTCGATGACACTCGAACAGAAGCGAGAAAATGACCAAAGAAGTAGGCTGATATGCGCCAAGCTAAGGAGCAAGTCATCGAGGAGAGGAGTTTTTCGATCTAGGGTTCGTTGCTACTGTAAAAACCTAGAGATTTTCATGGCCTGTATATTCTTCTCTAGCTTCTCGTGGAAAGCTTGACATTGTCAATGTACTGCATAAGACATGAATTTGGGATAAGCTGGGAGCCATCTGACTCTTCCTAGCTCAAACGATCCATCGCATTGAAAGCTTCTTTTTCGGGGGAAATTATGTCTGCATCTAAAAATGTTTTAACACTCCGAAATCCGCATGTTCCGTAAAGTCAAATGACCATTCTTCGTGTTCATTGACATCTCTATAACAGCCATTATTTATACTTTTATAACGCAGATAAACCGGGAAATTGTCAATCCAGGCCTGACTTGCAATGCGCAGGGCTCGCCGGACTGACGACCTAAACTTCGAAATGGAGAGAAAATACATACATCACAGTCGTCTAAATCATAGCTTATATATAGACTCCGAATTGTAATGCTAGATAATACAGTTCTTTCACTGAAAAATCTTTTCACTTTTTGATAGAATATGAATCACAAACAGTAACCCTAATATGTTTTGACAGCGCTCGAAGTTCAGTCAAACGTCTCGCTCTTGAGTGCTTTAGCTCGGTTTCACTAGTAGCCCGACCCAGGTCCCTCTTTTCGCGGTCGTACACATAGAAATTACAACTTTAAACGCCCGTAGAAACGCGGGGATTTTATCAGTCAAAATATTTTTCGCTGAAGTAACTGGGGAAACTAGTAGATTTTTTAAAAGGAAAAAAAATTGGGGGTAAGTGGCACTTAACATTTCGTCTCGGGAAACATTGAGATGCTCTGGAAACAAAATTCACTGTTCCCCAAGGGACCAGTCATTAAGTGATTTGTCATAAAGCAAAACAAATGGGTCAAACCGGTGGAAAACAAATAATCACTTTATTGACAAATGACGTGCCACAGCGGTCAACATTTCGCGCGCGGGTGACAGTGAACTGTTTCCCGTTGGACGTCATAGTTTTCGCAGTATTGCCCGCCCATGGCATTTGGCGGGAAACAGTTTCATTATTAGATGTCCTGTGACCATGAACTAGCCTGTGAACAGGCGCGCTGTAGCGGGAAAAACGCCAGCTACATAACAATTCAAGTTAACTTCAACAGCTAAGACTGATGGACACTAAACGTTTATTTCTTTTCTCGTTGACCTCTCTGCATCAAATCGTTCTAAAGGACGTCATTACGGTAGAGGAACAAATCCATGAAGGTCCGATTGCTCTTTTCTTTGATATGAAAAAAATAAAAAAAACTTTAAGTTCATAGGTAATCACATGATTTTGAGTGCAATTTCGAATCAATAAGCACGAGTAAATTTTTCAAAGGCTAACAAAGTTGTGCTTGGTATTCCAAAACTCTTCAAAAATTTCCGAAAATATTCGCAAAGCTTCCAACAATGTTCCAGAGTCTTCGGCCAACTTCGGGTGATCTTCGACAACCTTTGGAATAGTTCGAATGATTGTTGGAGTTGTTCGGGAATGTTCGGGTGATGTTCGTTGCTCTTCGGAAGAGTAGGTAGTCTTCGTAAGTGCTCGCAAAGAAAGGAAGGTAGGCCTAGGGGTGAACTTCGACCACTTTCGGTAGTTTTCGAGTGTCTTGGTTCTAAATTCAGATATCTGCGTTGCAATTTACACTGGTGTTTCAAATTTGCACTGGTGTTACATGAAAACTGCACTCCTTTTTAACCCATCAGAATCGAGTAATTTTGTAAGTGTACTAGTAGTTAAAGGAACAGAAATATATGTAATTCTGCTTATTTCTGTCATGTTTTGAGACTGTTTCTAACTGGAATTCTCTTAATTCTGCTAATTTGGTTGTTTTCAACTACTTCCCTTTAGCTACTTTGGCATTAACGGTTGGCTTCGTTGTCGGTGTTGCAGTCTTAGTTGTAATAATTTTCTGTGTCGTTCATCACGTTAAACGAAAAATGACGCCAAACAGAGAAGCCGGTGCGGAAATTCCAATGTCGACTACCACTACTTCAGCTTCCCGTTCTACACAGCAACCTCATCAACCTGCGGGAAACACATTCTCATCTCCTTCAGTAGGTTATGCTCCAGTCCCGACAAATCCACCACCCCCAGAGTACCCATACCCATTAGAGTCACCACCCCCCTATCCAACAAAAGAAGCGGAACCACAGTACCCACCTCCAGGTCAATCATATCCATGGCAACAGAATATTGGCAGTGCACCAACCCCTGAGAGTCCGTAAGCTGTGGGGTTCTGCTTCCAAACACCGGGGGACTTCGCTTTTACACCTCCTAGGAGCCGGTTTGTAGAGATTATGTTTATCCCGGTATTAGCGAGCCAACCTGGGCAGAACTGCAAACTGACCTCCGCTTAGGTTATACAAACTTCCTTCACCAATAGACTGTTCTTTTCAGAACTATTCTCACTCTGTCGGACGGTTACTACACGAAATACTGACACTCCTTGGCTCAAACTTGCCATAACAATGAACAAACAAAGCTAAAATAACAGTAAAAAGGATAATTTTATATTTAAATTGGTACATTCCAGGGGTTTCATTAAGGGCCGGGCAGCCTGCAAATTGACCGGCTGTGAGGATGATTTTTGCCTGCCTGGTTTGACCATCTAGCGGAAAGTTTTTGTTTGTATAGAGAATTTCAATTCGAATAGTTTTGCCCGACTATGAAAACCGGTCGTCCCCCCACCCCCTGCTGAAAAAGTTAATGAAACCACTGGTGCATTCGCCTAGGAATAGTTCTGGTGCGTAAG